GAGATTTGGGCGTAATTGCTTTTGTAAACAAACACGTCATTCAGCGATTTCTCACGAATCAAAGCACAATCTAACGAACTATACTATACCAAATGCATCATTCCTCTACCTGTCTGTGTTGTTAGTTTTTTAGATTGAACTTTAAATCACGAGAAATCGGCGAATTAAGTGTGTGTTTACAAAAGAAATTACGCCCTAATCTCAAAGTTTTCCGGATTTATTTATAGTTTTAGTTCTCAATGCAACCAGCTAATAATAGATACTTGTAACCAGTGCTGTAAATTTTCATATCATTCGATTGAAGATGAACCACTACAACCATTCACAGAATTGTGTAAACGAATTCTCACATGACCATAATTTAAAGAGCCCCTTTCTCATTCGAAGCTCATTGTCACTGTCAATTGAGTCACTCAGTATCATTTGATATACGACAGTGGAGTATGGAAGAAATCCAGGAAAATGGTCCCGAACAGACAAGTCGACCCGATGTCGGATCAATGTAAGGCTAATTTAAGGTCGATGTCGACCCAATGTCGTGTTAATGTCGGGTCAATTTTGGGTTTATGTCGGGTCAATGTCGGGTCAACATCGGGTTGGGGTTTGATAGAAGTCAGGTTGGTGTCGGGTTGGCTTAGCTTTTTCGCCGGAATGTCGACCAGAGCTCCGTTTGTGTGTAGGTTACACTCAATCGAATGATATATAGCGTTTCTCAAATGAGAATGATCCATGCCTTCGTCAAATGACTAAGCAACTGATATCACCCATTCGGAGGAGGTCCCCTTTGATAGCGAATAGCTACTTTTCTAATTTTCATCAAAAATGTTCAAATGATTTTGAGAATTTACAGCACTGGTAATAGCACAGTGAAAAAGTTCACCACCACCTATATTCCCAACCATCCCCCTGCATATAATTATTGCATAAGAGCTTACAGGAACGATATTACTAACACTAGTGATGAGAGGAGCCATGCATTAACTGTATTTCGTGAAAATGAGGATACATTAGGCGCTCCTCCTTCCGCAACCCCCTATCCTGAGGAACGGTTTTAATATAAAAATTGCTAGTCACAAAATCTTACACTACCCTCCCCGTTCCTCGTTAATGTCGCGTTGACACTTGTGCTTATTCATTCATTTTTTTTGCCAGAAACCAATGCACCAATCAATCAGTTGCACAAAACTGTTCACATCATCCTGATAACGGCTACTTTAAACAACAGGCGCCAGTAGACAGCCAGGTACCAGACTTATCAGTCTTTAGAGATTGTATGTATTGATTTACTCGGGATAGCTTTCTGTCTATAATCTTTCCCTTGTGAAATGTGCAGTGCAATTTTCAAGAACGAATGTGGTGTAAAGAGATAGAGAGAAAAAATGATCTGATATTTTTCGTATCCTCACGTTGGTGATTCGAGTTAAAAAAGTTCGCGATATCTCATTCTCTCATCCCAGAAAGTTCGCTCAGGAAATATTGGAGTGTGAAACTAGGGAGGGAAAGTTCCCAAGAGAAAACGTATCGCAAGCGAAAATGATATTTTGGTGAGAATTCCATCACTGCTCATTGATTGTTCTACAAGTTTTGAAAATCTGAATCAAATCGATAATAAGGAAACATTTTAATGATCGATAGAGTGTAGGAGTGTCATTTTTTCATATATTTTATATAAATTTCCCATAAAAAATTCAAACTTAAAGCACCAGCTCGCGTTACATCCAAATGAGCTGAAATTTTCAGTGTGGTTTTCTCACCTAATGGCACTAATCTAGGGTTTTTTTTTTTTTTTTGTTTATTAATTTATTTGATAAGGCTCAACCGAATTAACTTTACAGAGCCGATGATTCTTGGTTACTATACAATACATCTTAAAACTATAGTCAAAAGGTACAACACAATAAACACTTTATCTTCCGCTATCCAAAAAGCCTCCTCCATCAGAACTGGAGCCGCTTCCAGTGGTTTCATTGTATGGCTTATTGTTGTACGCCAACGAGGGTCAGAGCGCGTCCATTGCAGCAATGGACGCAAAACGTGGTCAGCACTCACACACTCATCACGAAACGGTTGCTTTCCAAAGTCGACGACGAATCGACTGAAAGAACTGCTGATGAAGAACAATGACGAAGACCACACAATGGTTGCTGCCGAGAAAACAGACGATCGCGTAGCACACATCGAGAGTGGCCTGCTTTTGTCGACAGCCGAGTGAACACTGTAATCTAGGGGTTGGCCCGTGGAAAATTAGAACTTTTATTTTTGTGGGCCAGTCTAGTGCTTATGTTTCAAGTGAGAAATGCTTAAAAGACAATACACATAGATTTATAAAATAAGCTAACCTAATATAAATCTATTGGAAATGTCACCAACGACGACATGTAGCGGTTTGATACAGATTCCTAATATGAATATTTTAAACCTAACTGTCGAAAAATTTAACATTGCATGTGTTGCTCGCAGTCCTTCGGATCGAGCATAGAAAACTATTTTACAAAGTATGCTCTCGGCGATACTCAAACTAAAATTTTAATGCAACAAACATACAATGTTACCGTTGGTAAAAACGAGCACCCGGTTGCGAAAGGGTTGCGGTCGGTGAAAGTGAACACCCAGTTGCGAATGGGCGAATACCGTGAACGGTCCACTGACAGTTTTCGACGGCTGATGAAGATGACCTAAATGAATGGCACACATACATGCGCATGCAGCTGATCGCGCAGTGGGATCAGCCATCGTAATTTGTTATTGTTGACACTGAAGATCGAAACGAGATGGTGAAATTCTCATCTTTTAATTTAGTGAAGTGAATTTGTCTGTCCACTTGTAGTTAATTAGCAAAATAAGTGTGAAGTCAATTTTGTATGTGCAATAGTTTATTGTAAATATTGTGAAAGTTATATTTGGTGTTTTTGTAGATTTCGTCAGCTGATTGTTGGTCGATATTAGGTTTGCTCGTTCATGATATTTTGTGCTACTTACCGTGAGTTTGTTTGTATTTCGATAGTCAGTAAATGTAATAAATTAATGTTTTCAACATAGGTCCTCAAAACCGAGTATAGGAGTGTTGGCAGTGAGACTGGTAGTAGTTATATTGAGGAAAACTTAATGTAAGTAGTTTGTTATTAATGATAAGTGCATCTGTTATTAATGTTTGTTGTATTAAAATTTTAGTTTGAGTATCGCCGAGAGCATACTTTGTAAAATAGTTTTCTATGCTCGATCCGAAGGACTGCGAGCAACATTCTCAAAATTAAATGGCTGCGACCTACAAGTACCCGTGTTGTGACTGCAATGAATCGTACGATGCCAGCGTCCAGTGCGAAAGATGTGAAGAATGGTACCATTTCGAGTGCGTTGGTGTCGACGAATCCGTTGCAGAGGTCATATGGTTCTGCTCGACCTGTATCGGTGAGGATAGATCGATTCGTGAGTCGCTGGGGGCACCAGGACGGACCAGGATTCATCCGGTGGTGATCGATCATCCATCTGCTAATGCTGAAGGTAGCGGTACAGAGGTCAGTAAGGTAGCAAATAAGAACATATCATCGACTAAACGTCGCATAAGTAGGGCCCAAGCACAAGATGATGATAGCAATAAATCAGATCAGGAGCAGGAAAGTTCTGATGAAGACGAAAATCAAGACGTGGCAAAGGAAAAAGTAGAAGACCACGCAAAGTTCTTGAATGAGCTTTTAAAATCGTTTGATCGTTGTCATAGTCAACCCGTGCGCGTACAATCGAGTAAATCGAGTGGTAGCGGTAAAAGGGGACTCCGGAAAAGTGCCAGTGTACCGTCGGCAAAGTCTGCCTCGACACGTTCTCGTGCGTTGAAGGAACTTCGCGAACTGGAGGAGAAAAACAAGTTGGACGAACTCGAGGAGGAAAACCAACGGAAATTTCTGGAACTTCAACGAAAGCAGATTGCCAGACGAAAAGAAGCGCTCAAAAGGAGGATCGAATTGAGGATGATCATCAACGAGGATGCTGAAGATGATTCGGATTCAGTGAACGAAGAAGTGGAAGAATCGACGAACAGAAGCAGGAAAAAGCAGCCGGAGGAGCAGATCCCGAAGAGTTTGGGTGCAATTCCGATGGTTCCACGAAAAAGGTCTACCGAAGATGATATTCAGGACCTATATGATCGCTTCAAGAAACTTTTGGAAGAAAAGAATCCTCGAAAGTCAGCACCAAAGCTGCCCACCACGAAGAAGAGCACCAAGCGTGCATCGAATCCGGTACTGCCACGCCCTTCTTTTGAAAAGGATGATGACGCACTGAGATCAATCCTTGGTGGCGGGGACTCCGATGATGAAGTCATTGTGGAAGGACCAACACGGCTCCAAATAGCATCCCGTCAGGTCTTTCCACGGAGTCTACCCAAGTTCTACGGAGCAGCCGAAGAGTGGCCGGTATTCATCAGCGCCTATGAGCAAGCAAACTTGTCGTGTGGATTCACCAACGCCGAGAATTTGGTTCGCTTACAAGACGCGCTGAAGGGTAGAGCGTTGGAAACGGTTCGGAACCGATTGCTGCTGCCAGAAAACGTGCCGCTTATCATTGAGAAGCTGCGGAAGAGATTCGGGAACCCGGAAATTCTATCAACCAGGTTAGCAACCAAAGTTCAACAGCTAGAAGGACCCAGCTCGGAGAGTTTGGAGTCGGTGATCGAGTTCGGAAGTGCAGTTGAAGAATTCACCCAGCATCTCAAGGCAGCAGGACTGGTTGACCACCTGAAGAACCCAATTCTAATGCAGAGTTTAGTCCAAAAACTGCCATCGTATTATGCTATGGAGTGGGTGGACTACAAACGTCGCGCTAGAACGGTCGTTTTGGAGACGTTTGGTGGTTTCATGGAGGGTCTGGTGGAAAAGGCACTGGAAGCGACCTTCGAAAAAGCAGAGTTGGACGGAAAGGTCAAAAGAAAGGAGAAGATCAAGGCTTTCGTTCATGCTACAGACGGAAGAAATCAAGACAGCCAGTAAAGCCGGATGGAGTCGAAGATGGAGCAGAGATCGTCGAATCAGTTGCAGCAGAAGTCGCAAAGCCAGCCACAGCAACGAGAACTGAAGTGTTCGGTCTGCCAGAAGCCTGGACATTATGGAAGATATTGCCAGGAGTTCCTGAAACAGAGCTTGGACGAGCGGTGGAAAACAGTGAAGCGGTTGAACCTGTGTCCGCTTTGTCTGTACGACCACGGGCAACGATCGTGTCGCATCCGGATAGCCTGTAAAGTCGACGGTTGTCAGGAGTACCACAATGCTCTGCTACATAGTGGCCCGAGTGAAGGAACCTCGCGAGCTCGAGTGCAATGCAACAGTCATCGTCAGCAGGAACGTGCAGTACTATTCAAGATGGCTCCAGTGACGCTCTACAACGGCAAGAAGAAGATTGATACGCTTGCTCTAATCGACGAAGGATCGTCAATAACTATCGTGGATAGCGAATTGGTGGAATCGTTGGGAGCTGATGGGCCGGTGGAATCGTTGCAGATGTGCTGGACAAATGGTGTTCAGCGGACAGAGAATCGGTCGAAGAAAGTTACGCTCGAGATCTCCGCCAAAAATTCGCCGTATCGCTACGATTTGATGGAAGCCCGCACGGTGCACAAACTGGATCTCCCTACACAACAGATGGATTCCCGGAAATTGAAGGAGCAGTTCGAACATCTCAAGGACATACAGATTCCCAGTTACGAAGTAGCTACACCGAAGGTGTTGATTGGAATCGACAACGCCCACCTGATCGCGCCATTGGACTCCCGAGTTGGAGATTCTGGTGAGCCTGTTGCAGTTCGTTGCAATCTCGGCTGGACGTTGTATGGCCCGCGTCGAAATGTCGTCAGCAGTGTAAACTTCTTGGGACATCATCGTTGTGTGGGTGAAGAATGTAGCATTGCAGATAAGAAGCTGGATGAAGCGTTGAAGCAGAATTATCAACTGGAGGAGGTCGGAACTTCGGTGATTCGATTGGAGTCAAGGGAAGATCGCAGAGCGCGTGAGATCCTAGAAAAGACGACCAAGAGAATTGGTGAGAGGTTTGAAACCGGACTGCTCTGGAAGGAAGATGACGTGCGATTCCCTGAAAGCTTTGACATGGCCTTGAAGCGGTTGCGAAGTTTGGAAGCTCGGATGAAACGAAATCCTGGGGTGCGAGAAAACTTGCAGAAGCAGTTGGAGGAATATCTCGCCAAAGGCTACGCGCATCGCATCACCGAGCGGGAGTTGAAAGAGACGCCGAAGGGAACGGAATGGTACCTACCCTTGAATTACGTGGTGAATCCGAAGAAACCGGGCAAGGTGCGATTGATTTGGGATGCGGCAGCGAAAGCACATGGCGTGTCGTTTAACGATAAACTGTTGACGGGACCGGACATGATAACTTCGTTGCCAGTTGTGATAAGTGGTTTCCGTGAGAGACGTGTGGCGTTTGGAGGTGACATCAGAGAGATGTTTCACCAAGCAAAGGTTCGTCTGGAGGATCGTCAAGCACAACGATTTCTGTTCCTGGGTCCGAACGGAGAGGTGGAGATTTTTGTGATGGATGTCGTGATCTTCGGTTCTAGTTGCTCGCCATGCTCTGCCCAGTTTGTGAAGAACCTGAACGCACGCGAACATTCCGAGCACCCTGAAGCTGCAGATGCTATTGTCCGGAAGCATTACGTCGATGATTATTTCGACAGCACCGATACTGAAGCGGAAGCAGTCAAACTAGCGATGGATGTCAGAAAGGTGCACGCAAATGGAGGTTTCGAGATACGGAACTGGGTCAGTAACTCGGAGGTGGTCCTGCAGGAGCTTGGAGAGCCAAAGTGCGCGGCGAAGCCGCTAGAAGTGGACAAGTCCTGCGAATTCGAACGAGTCTTGGGGATGTTATGGGACCCGGAGGGAGATAACTTCATCTTCTCGACGGAGATTCGGCAAGACCTTCAGCCATACATTCGGGAAGGTGCTTGGCCAACGAAGAGGATTGCGTTACGGTGTATAATGAGTATGTTTGATCCGAAGCAGTTCTTGGCTCCTCTGCTCATACATGGCCGCATCATCATGCAGGATTTGTGGCGCAGTGGAATCAAGTGGGACGAAAGGCTGACCGAGAAACATTATGAACGGTGGGTGAAATGGACACAGTTATTCCATCTGATCGACGAGATCCGAGTTCCTAGGTGCTATCTGGGCAGACTAGATTCGAAGGCGTACGATACGGTACAGTTGCATGTGTTCACCGATGCTGGCGATGCGGCTTACGGGTGCGTTGCTTATTTCCGATTTGAGGACGGCGGAGTCGTTCACTGCGCATTCATTGAGGCAAAAGCGAAGGTGGCACCATTGCAGTACCTGTCTACGCCACGAATGGAGCTAGAAGCTGCTGTTCTAGGCGCGCGGCTGATGAAGTCAATCTGCGATAGTCATTCTGTTCCTGTTTTGAAGTGGTTCCTGTGGTGCGATTCGTATACTGTTGTGTCGTGGGTGAAGTCCGACCAACGAAGGTACAAACCTTTCGTTGCCCACCGAATCGGAGAGATTCTCAGCATCACAAACCCTGAAGATTGGCGCTGGGTAGGTACGAAGGACAATCCAGCAGACGACCTAACGAAATGGGGAAAAGGAACGGAAATCAAGTCGGAGAGTCGTTGGTATCGAGGTCCGGAGTTCCTGTATAAAGACGTGTCAGAGTGGCCGAAGCAGAAACGTCCGGTGGTGGAGGTTCAAGAAGAACTACGCGCAAGCGTGCTGCTGCATCATATTCTTTTGCCTGAGGGGTTGATGGAGAGGATGCAGCATATTTCTCGGTGGACGGTGATGGTGCGAACGGTAGCAGTAGTGTTCCGTTTTGTGTCCAACTGTCGTCGTCGGATCAAAAAGATGCCGATCGAAGCGTTGCCGATTGATGCTAAGCAAGCTGGACGTATAGCGTTTGCAGCAGTTGAGGTACCGTTGCGGCAGGAAGAATATATGTCTGCCGAATCGTTGCTGTGGAGGATAGTGCAAGCAGAGGAGTTCGCGGACGAGGTGAAGACACTCATGAAGAATCGGGATTCATCTGTAGCTCAAGATTTACCACTGGAAAAGTCGAGTCCGATTTATCGCTTATCACCATTTCTGGATGAAGAAGGAATTGTGCGGATGGAAGGTCGGACCGAGGCGGCTGACTACGTGGCGTTTGATGCGAGGTTCCCGATCATTCTGCCGAAAGATCACGTGGTGACCAAGAGACTGGTGCAACATTATCATCGACAATATGGCCACGGTAGCAGGGAAACGGCAGTGAATGAAATTCGGCAGCGATACTACATACCTTGTCTACGCGTGTTGGTGGAGCAAGTGATGCGGGAGTGCATGTGGTGCAAGATCCGGAAGGCAAAACCAACTGTGCCCAGGATGGCACCACTACCCGAACAGCGATTGGCTGCGAAGATCGATCCGTTTTCAAACGTGGGCATCGATTATTTCGGGCCGCTAGAAGTGACCGTTGGAAGAAGGAAGGAGAAAAGATGGGTGGCACTGTTCACGTGCTTAACTGTCAGAGCGGTGCACTTGGAGGTGGCGTACAGCCTGACGACGGAGTCGTGCAAAATGGCGATTAGGAGGTTTGTGAAGCGACGTGGCAGTCCGATTGAGATCTTCTCGGACAACGGTACGAATTTCGTCGGTGCCAATCGAGATCTGGTGAAGGAGATCAACGTTGCCTGTGCGGACACGTTCACTGGTGCAAGGACCCGTTGGACGTTTAACCCACCTTCAGCGCCACATATGGGGGGCGCTTGGGAGAGAATGGTACGCTCGGTGAAAGAGGCACTGCATGTCTTCACGGATGGTCGGAAGCTGACGGATGAGATCCTGCAGACTGCACTGATCGAGGCTGAGAACCTGGTCAACTCACGTCCACTTACGTACGTGTCAACCAACGTGAAGGAAGACAAAGAAGCGCTAACAGCAAATCACTTCCTGCGTGGTCGATCGTCGGCCGAATGTCTACCGTCGAGGATTCCGGTGGATTTGGCTGATACGTTGCGGAGCAGCTATAGTCGAGCGCAGCAGTTAGCGGATGGATTTTGGGATCGTTGGCAGCGGGAGTATCTGCCGACCCTGAACAGACGGTCGAAGTGGTACTTGGACCATCGAAAAGTGGCGATAGGAGACCTGGTGTTTGTGGCTGATGGCGAAAAGCGGAGTACCTGGGAGCGAGGCCTAGTGACGCAAGTGTTCGTTGGCAGTGATGGGAGAATCCGCTCAGCGTCCGTGCAGACCAGCCGGGGTGAGAAGCTGCGACCAGTATCGAAGTTAGCCGTTTTGGAGATTGAGGTGGAAAATAGTAATCCCCGTACTGTTCCCGAGTGAATCAGCGACAGGGTTTACGGGTGGGGGAATGTTACCGTTGGTAAAAACGAGCACCCGGTTGCGAAAGGGTTGCGGTCGGTGAAAGTGAACACCCAGTTGCGAATGGGCGAATACCGTGAACGCCCCGTCCACTGACAGTTTTCGACGGCTGATGAAGATGACCTAAATGAATGGCACACATACATGCGCATGCAGCTGATCGCGCAGTGGGATCAGCCATCGTAATTTGTAATTGTTGACACTGAAGATCGAAACGAGATGGTGAAATTCTCATCTTTTAATTTAGTGAAGTGAATTTGTCTGTCCACTTGTAGTTAATTAGCAAAATAAGTGTGAAGTCAATTTTGTATGTGCAATAGTTTATTGTAAATATTGTGAAAGTTATATTTGGTGTTTTTGTAGATTTCGTCAGCTGATTGTTGGTCGATATTAGGTTTGCTCGTTCATGATATTTTGTGCTACTTACCGTGAGTTTGTTTGTATTTCGATAGTCAGTAAATGTAATAAATTAATGTTTTCAACATAGGTCCTCAAAACCGAGTATAGGAGTGTTGGCAGTGAGACTGGTAGTAGTTATATTGAGGAAAACTTAATGTAAGTTGTTTGTTATTAATGATAAGTGCATCTGTGATTAATGTTTGTTGTATTAAAATTTTAGTTTGAGTATCGCCGAGAGCATACTTTGTAAAATAGTTTTCTATGCTCGATCCGAAGGACTGCGAGCAACAGCATGTAAAATTGAGAATACACCAAATTAGTAATTTTATGGATTTTTGTTAAAATAAATTTACAAAAACTTTAATTCTCAAACTCATCCAAATGTACCAGTCTAAAACTGTGGAAGTTCCTCAACGCTCCCTTCAAGTACCATCATTCTCCACCGGAGAACGCAATGACCGAGCAGTAAATCTGCGCTCTAAACAACGGGTTCATTGTTCCTGGAAGGCATTACAATATTATTTGTATTCATGAACATATGAAAATTGCAAACAATAGAAATGAGTGACGTTCTAAACAACCGCAATTACACTCTCCACAAGAGTGTTGCTACTCTCCATCCATTGCAGTCCAGACTGACACAACTGACCGGTGGACCCATTGCTGCAGCACCAGAATCAACGCTGCGCGTTCCAGGCAAACTGCAACAGCCACGGCAAGTGTGAGAATAGACGTTTTGCACCTCTCTTACTTCCTGTACTATCGAGGCACTTTTTCATTATTTTTTTTCAACCAGCAATACAAGAAGTGCATGTCGCGATTGTACATCACCGTCATCGTCGTCGTCGTCGTCGTCGTCGTTTCCGTCTGCAGAGCGTTGTAGACAAGCTGTAGCTACACCTACCGTCACAACGACGACGGTAACAATCCATGGTGACGGACGATCCGAAGATTGACGGAAGGCTTCAACGAGTCGAGAGCACCATTTGAAAAAGTAGCAGCAATTTGCTGAAAGAGGTATGGAAAATGATGAAAAATTGTTACACCACAAGGGAAAAATGAGAAGCACTGCGATTACGTTGCACTGGGCATAGAAAGAGAAATAGGAACAATAATAGGAGGTAAATGAAGAGAGTGAAGAGTGAAGAAAACAGATTTGCAAATCATTAAATCGTTCGAATTATGAAATTATTACAATGCAATTGTCGTAATTATATGCTTCATTTATGAAATGCGTTTAGCGCGACGCTGGCTCACTGTGGAAATCCCGGGCAGGTGGGTTTGGGCATACAGAAAAGAGTCACACCGTGTTGGATTGGCCATGTATAGCATGTAAAGCCGGGCGTTTGCTCGCACACCAAAGGGGTATTTAGCTGCTGTACTGATGGAAATTCCAGTGCAGCCATAGGATGAAGGTAATCGGAATGTTTATAACTCATTCAACCAGTAGTTGCAACGTTGTAGCAGGTAAATTAAATGGTAGCATTTTTTTTTAATTAAAGAGAAAAACGTTTTTCCCATTATCGCTATGAGTGATTAAATAGTTCAAGGTTTATACCGAAGAACTAGGCTTTATTAGTTGCTGCTTTGACTAAATGCTCATTAATTATTACGAATTAGTGCATATATACATCTCTTTAATGCATTGTTTTTAAATAACATGGTGTGTCCAACTCAGAGATGCCAGATATACAGCCATGTCTGTGAATTCACAGATTTTTTTTCACAGGCTTTTTTTTCGTTACAGACATTTACAAACTTTTTACTTTTTTCACAGATATTTACAGACTTTTCAATCAAGCGAAAATTAAAAAAAAAATTACACAATTTTACAACTTTAATCAAATTACTCGTGCGATGCATTTTGCAACACGCATTAGAAATTCGTGCGTTTTCAAATCCACCGCACGAACGAGCTGTCACTGTTATAGAGATTAGTGACGTTTAATGTACGCACACTAGCGGGTGCATCGCTGTGTAAAGTTGTTTATTATTTTCCTGCAGTTTTAGTGCTGAACGAAGCAGCCATTTTCGCCATTTTGTATCTGAATAAGAGTCGTCAAAATGTAAAAAAAAAAATCAAAGGGAACCCGAGAAGGAACCCCATAACGAACTTTTTAAAAGGATCAGGTAAGCTATAAGTTAAGGAAAATCAATATAAATATTTGCCCTAATCATTATGTTGAGTTCCATGTGATTTGAGGTATCGCACGATGCATTTCGGCGCATGTCAGAATCTGTCCACTTCCCGGGACCGATCTAAGAGAGACCATTGTGATCATTGGGTCTGAATATGTCCAGCATTGATCTTAAAGTAAAATTCTTATGTGATTTAGGTGTCACATAATGAGTTTTTGATAGATCAATCGTTTACGAATTCCCCAGTGGAATCTGGAATTCACATTTTTGTTCATAACTTCGGAACCATAATTCCGACCGCGCAAAAAAATCAATAGAGATCTATGGGGATCTGAAACACATCTTCTGGAACTTGTTGCACTCATTTTTCGATCCCGTTGAGATGAGTCTATTGATAGATGGCATTCGTCTCTCCAAAATTGTGTTTTTCAAGTGATATCAAGCCTTTCGGTACAACTTGGTGTACGATAAAGGCAAAAAGGTTGGTATCAGCAAATTGTGTTATATTTAGCCAAATTTTTCTCCCCCAGGTGTGGAATTAAATGTAATGTTGCTTGATATATCTTATTTTAAAACTGTATTTATAAAATCGTTACAACAGTGTTAGTGTTTAGCGCCAATTCACCATACATGGCGCCGCTGTACAGTACTCTCCATTTCTCGATGATCTTTATTTCTATATTCCTTCTTATCTGAATCGTTTCAGCAACCCTGATCAGTGCTGCAGAATACAATACAATACAATACACGGTGATATTGACAGTTTTGCTTTGGTCACTCATTTGAGCTAACAATCACAGTCAAGGCAAACCATGTCAATTGTCAATGCTGTCAGTGACGAACATGTGTAGATTTTTTTATTAACTAAATTTGTAACGAAATTAGATGACTTGAGTAACACCATTACATGGAGTCGTTAACAAACAATAATGTGACACAGAATGCACGAAATTACACTTACACTTAGAATCTTTGTCATTGACGAAAAAATGAATGATATTATGCCGAAGGTTTTTTTTTTTTGAGAATAAAGTCTGCGATGACCAATTTTGCCAATATCGCGCGAAAGTCTGTCAATGACAATGACAAATCTCAGCACTGACCCTGATCCTGATTCATCAAAACTTTTTGAGCACGAAGTGTTTAGAATCGTATTAATAAGCTTATAAATTGCTCTTTTGATTGTCGATTTCTCCATATTTAGGTGGTGGAAATTTGAATCTCTCACTAAGATGTGCTAGTTCCCCCGCTGCTGGCGTGCAAAAGGACCAGTACTAAGTAGCTAGCGGATTTTTACTCTACATGGTATATAAGATCGACGCAAATTTAAGTATAAATTACTCAAACTCTAGAAAACGTAGTTTACGTAGACTGAGTAAAGTTTTCCGAGCCTTTCGAATATGACTTAAATTGACGACAAATTACTCATTCTAGAAGTATGCACTCAAAGAATAAATCACATATCCAATGAAAAACTTTCATTAGAATTTCACATAACTTTAATGTGATATCATAATTGGGAATTGCAACACACAATCACATTTACCTTATATGTTAAACGAAATTTAAGTGATTTATCATATAGAACTCATGTGATCACATGAATGTTATGTGCAATTCATATAGATATCATTGGTATTGTTAATGGAAAAATTTAATGTGCATTCCCAATGGAAACTACATGAAAACTTTTTTCCGTGCACTAATTTAATATGTACATCGAGAAGTTGATCTTATTACAAAAAAAATTCCTGTAAAATCTCGTAAAGTTTTACACAAGAATATGAGCAGTGTTGGCAAAAGCATCAATCAAATAATATGTCTCCACTCTCATACGCCCTCAATATCATGCTGAATATTGATTTTACAAGCGAGTTTATTCACAGCATACAAAAATCAAGCTGAGAGTTGACTCGACACCAAACGGATTCCGTTGCACATCTCTTTTTTAGAAAGAGAAAGCATAGTTTGCTATCTCTTTTTAATCTTCACCGATGGCAGACACGAAGTGACTGCTGCAAGCCGTTATAGAAGTTGTATTCGGATGTAAAGCAAAAACCATTAAACTCAATCTCACCTTAGTTTGGTGAGATTTGCAGCTGGTGAGTTTTGTTAGCTTGATAATCTGAGCTGCGATATCACAGCTTGCAAATCAACCGTAGATGTTTGTTTGTTGATTTTTGTCTACGAAAATCAAGCGTGATCTTGGGCATTGGTGAGATTTGATTTTTTTTATATTTTTCCAACACTGAATATGACTGGAATAATGTTAACTTGGAGTCGACTTCATTTGTCGTGTAATCGTAATTTATATTTTTTTATTTATTGCTTTTAACGTACACGGCGTAAATGGATGCATTCCCAACTGCAATTAGGTTCAATTCGTTAAAAGCAGATCTTTTTTGCTCGAACATGACTTTTAA